AGTGTCATTTTAGAGGGAAGACAGGGGCTTAAGTGGGAAGCTGCGCAGGGCGGAACTTTGATTAGAAATCAGAGCTTCCCACACGTCAATGCCATCAATGCGCCTGTGGCCGCCTTCCTTTCGCAGGAGCTTCCCGAAGCCACGGTTTTGTGGCTGTGCCCATGTGGAGAGGGTCCAGGCAGGGAAAGCAGTGTGGGCAACACTTGCTGGAGAAGCAAAGGGCAGGCAGTACCAGCAGCGAGTGTGCCACAGGGCCCCTTAGTTCCCATCTGCAAAGGAGGCCCTTGGGTTGGGGATGCCTAATGTCCTCCTACACTCCGCGCTGGAGGTCACCTCAGTGTGAAGGGAGAGCCCGTCCTCTTTCAAAGCAGGCTCCTATTTCTCTACACAAGCCTTTGGGCATCCTAACGTCTATGCATGCCCCATCCCCTCTACCCCTTCTTGGAGTCCTTGCTTGCCCCCCACCCTGAGAGGGAAGGAGGGGAGCATTCTGGAATGAGCTGGGGGGAGGAAAGGAGGAGGAACTGGCTCCTCATTCTCTGGACTTTCCCTCTCTCTCTCAGTGAAAATCCCACCCAATTATAGCATTACTGGAGGAACCTGGGCTTGTTTGTGGGAGCGGGGTGGGGGCCAAGCCCCAGGCGCTCCTACCCCCACCTCCCCAGCTGTGGGGCCTGAGGATTAGCGCTTGTGTGGGGAGCCCCTAGAGGGCTGCTGACTCCGCACACACAAAGGAGGGGTGGCTGTGCCCGCTGTAGGATGATGAAGTCCGCAAACAGAACAGGTGTGCTGTGTCTTCTTCCGGCCCCTGCCTCTTGGGGCCCACGTGTAGACCTTCTCCTAAGGCCTCCCCTTCCCTTCTTGCTTTTCTCTATCGCTGTCTGATGAGTTGGCACTCAGGCCCCTGCTGCTGGGCCTGGACAATGATGGGGGTGGTGAGTGTGTGATGGCGCGCTGTGAGCATTAGGCACCCAAGAGAACGGCTGGTCTCTTCATGCTGCTGCCAAACAGAAGGAAGGAGCAGGGAACTGAAGGGCCTATGCTCTTTAACAGGGTACAGGGAGCAGGGTGGTGGCCCCGTCCCCAGGCACAGTTCCCATGTGAGGGTGCCTTGTGCCCTGAGAGAGGTCACCCCTGGCCTTCAGAGTCATCTTGCAGTGGTTGAGAAGGCAAACTAGAGGAGGCTGCGTGGCGGGGCTGGGCTGACTTCCAAAACCTTCTCTTTGTGCACATTTACCGAGCATCTTCCAGTCTCCAGGGCTGTATGCAAAGTGCTACTCACCACTTGCAAGTCTTGGGCCCACAACCACCCCACCGGGTAGGCAGCTTGTGGCAGAGGGTGTGCAGAGAGAGGAAGGAGAAAGGCTGTAGGGTTTTGGAGGGAAGGGTCGCAGGGCTGCCAGCCCTCCAGGAATCCAGGGACCAGGAGTAGGCTGACAGTGGAGGGAGTGAGATAATCACTTAGTTGATGCACAGGTTCCCAAACTTA